AAATAATTTACAAATAATAAGTTAAATTATACTCTTTATTTAATTTTTTTTTTGATTTTTTGAGTTGGAGTCTCACTCTGTTGCCCAGGCTGGAGTGCAGTGACAGGCTTACGGCCACTGTAGCCTCAACCTGCTGGGTTTAGGCGATTCTTCCGCCTCAGCCTTCCAAGTAGTTGGAACTACAGGCATGCGCCACCATGCCCAGCTAATTTTTTGACTTATTGTAAAGATGAGGTCTTGCCAAGTTGCTCGGGCTGGTCTCAAACCCATGAGCTCAGGCAATCCTCTCACCTTGGCCTCCCAAAGTATTGGGATTATAGGCGTGAGCCACTGCACCCGGCCGGTACTCTTTATTCTAAATTCCATACAGCCAGTCAATTCTCACAGAATATTTTTCCTTTTTTTTTTTAATGAACTCTTGATCTGTAGCCATCTGTGGCTGTTCTTCAACCAGGATGTGGCAAAATTGAACTACAAATAACTTCTTGATCACTATCTAATCCAGCTAAGAAGTTGCTTACGTCATTGACTGCCAAGTGTAGTCCCAACATGAATGTTGACTGATCTCTTCATCTGCATTAATAAGATAAAACAACAAAGATATACGCTAGAACTTCATAGTCAGGCATGGTGGCTCATGCCTGTAATTTCAGGATTTTGAGAGGTAGAGGCAAGAGGATTTCCTGAGCTCAGGGGTTCGAGGCCAGCCTGGGCAACCTGGCAAGACCTCGTCTTTACAATAAACCAAAAAAATTAGCCAGGCATGGTGGTGTGCACCTGTAGTTCCAGCTACTTGAAAGGCTGAGGTGGAAGGATCGCCTAAGTCCAGCAGGTCGGCTGCAGTGGTCGTGAGTGTGCTACCGCACTTCAGCCTGGGCAACAGAGTGAGACACCAACTCAAAGAAAAAAAAAAACTTCATTAGTGATGTGAGCAACTTTGCTAAATTAGATATCAGTTTTCAAATACTAGAAATTTCCTCAAACTTTTTTTTTTTTTTGCTAATGGCAACCGCCTCAGCCTTCCAAGTAGCTGGAACTACAGGCGCGCGCTACCATGACCAGTTAATTTTTTGATTTATTGTAGAGATGAGGTCTCGCCAAGTTGCCCAGGCAGGTCTCGAACCCACGGGCTCAGGCAATCCACTCACCTCAGCCTCCCAAAGGCGCAGGATTACAGGCTGAGCCATCGAGTTTCACCCATTTAAGGCAAATGCCAACCACCACACAGGCTGGCCTGTGGAGGCTGGACTGTGGAGGTTGCCATCAGAAAATAGTTTACCTTAAAAGAGGAATTGCTAATTCCCAATATGCAGAGGAATGTTTGTTTTCGGGTGACTCACTTAACAAGTTGACTAACCTGTAGGAAGGGAGCAAAGGTGTTGTGCTGCCTGTTCCCCAGGTCTTCCTGAGGATCAAAGGTGGAAACAGGCGGAAAAGTGCTTTATAAATGTGAGTTATTGCGGTTGTTCCTGTGCAGATGATAAAGGGCTCTGGGGCCTCGTGAACCTTTCAAGGTTGAGTGGATGAGTTTGCTCAGCAAAACCTGGAGGGGCAGGGAGTGAGCAGCCTGTCTCTGCAGAGTGGATGGGGGTGGGGCCTCAGAGATTTATTGCTCAGACCACAGGAACAAATGGGCAAACACTTAACCTACCTTTCTTTCCTTCTTTCCTTCTTCCTTTCTTCCTGCCTTCCTTTCTTCCCTCCTTCCTTCCTTCCTTCCTTCCTTTCTTCCCTCACTTCCTCCTTTACTTCTTTTTTTTTTTTGAGTTGGGGTCTCATTCTGTCTTCCAGGCTGGAGCATAATGGCACAATCACAGCTCACCACAGCCTCAGCCTCCTGGGCTCAGGTGATCCTTCCACCTCAGCCTCCCGAGTAGCTGGGACTACAGGCATGTGCCACCAAGCCAGGCGAATTGATTTTTTTTGTAGAGAGATGAGGTCTCGCTATGTTGCCCAGGCTGGTCTTGAACTCCTGGGCTCAAGCGATCTTCCCGCCTCAGCCTCCTAAAGTGCTGGGATTACAGGCATGAGCCACCACACCCAGCCCAGATGTTTTCTTAGAGCTTCCAAACAGACAGCCAACAAAGATGATGGAGGGGAAAAAATCCAAACTGTCTTTTAATGTTTCTGCCTTGCCATAAAGCACACAGAGAAAGTTCTTCCATGGACAAGTCTGAATTGCACACTAAGGGGGAGGGGAGCCAGTTCTGTCGTGTATCGCCTCAACGTGATCACATCATCTCTCCATTTGCTGAGAAATCCAGAGTGCTTATAAAGGAATTCCTCCATTAAAATTCTCCAACACAAATGAATAAACTGTCGAAACTGTTAAACAACCAATTTCTCTTTTAATATTTCCAGAAAAGGGGGGAGAGCAATTCTGCAGAAGTCATTTGAAGTCATAAGCTTTGAAAATGTTTGCAGCATGTCCTACTGATTGAAATTTTCCAGCTGACTTGGGCCACAGCACACCACAACATCACAGCCTCTACAGTTCCTGGGAAATAACACTTTCGAAGGTGGCATTGCAAAGAAAAAGGTGGCCAGGCACAGTGGCTCATGCCTGTAATCCCAGCATTTTGAGAGGCTGAGGTGGGAGAACCAATTGAGCCCGAGTTCCAGACCAGCCTGGGCAACATAGCGAGGAAAAAAATTAAAAAGTTCGCTGGGTGAAATGGAGCACGCCTATAGTTCCAGCTACTCCAGAGGCTGAAATGGAAGGATCCCCTGAGCCTAGGAGGTCAAGGCAGCAGATCTATAATCATACCACTACACTCCAGTCAGGGCCACAGAGTGAGACCCGAACTCAAAAACAGAAAAAAGAAAGAGAAAGGTGATTTTTCATTCATGGCATTGATTTATTTTAAGTAAATCTTTTTACTTTGGAGTCAAAAAAGAATGGGGTCTCTGGTTAGATCTCAGCTAGGGATTCTGTTTAAGACATATCGCCTTGGGAGGCTGAGGTGAGTGGATTGCCTGAGCCCACGGGTTCGAGACCCGCCTGGGCAGCGAGACCTCATCTCTACAATAAATCAAAAAATCAGCCAGGCATGGTAGCGCATGCCTGTAATTCTGGCTACTTGGAAGGCTGAGGCGGAAGGATCGCTGGAGCCCAGCAGGTCAAGGCTGCGGTGGCCGGGAGCGACCACTGCACTCCAGTCTGGGTGACAGGGTGAGACTCCAACTCAAAAAAAACCAAAGACACATCAAAAGCACTTTGTTCTTCTTCCTCCCTGAGGGAGGCCTATCTCATGCAGGTCTAGGGTTTGTCATATTCTAAGAATTGGTCCTGGCTGGGCACAGTGGCTTAAGCCTAGAATCCCAGCACTTTGGGAGGCAGAGGTGAGAGGACTGCCTGAGCCCACAGGTGTGAGACCAGCCTGGGCAACATGGTGAGATCTCATCTCCACAACAAATCCATAAAAAATTAGCTGGGCATGGTGGCACACACCTGTAGCTCCAGCTACTTGAAAGACTGAAGCGGAAGGATCGCCTAAGCCCAGTAGGTTGAAGCTGCAGTGGCTGTG